ACTGTTTTTCATATCTCACACAGATGGTAGACAGTAAAGTAGACTGCTAAATCTACTTGATATCTGCTAGGACTCAAGTTCTATAAGTCATACTTATTCCCTAATTGTTATAATAATAGAGCCACTGGCTGTTGACAAAACAGGTACACACCAATGTCGACTGAATACTCTTATAGCCACGATAAATTTAGTGTTTTGTCTTTATATCTCTGGTATTTTCAAACATTTTTTTAAAAACCTATCGCTCTCTCACTTTTCAGTGTGAAGGCAGAGTTTCACTGAAAGTCTAAGGATCAGTAACACACCAGTAAGTAAGTCTAATCCCAGTTTTAACCAGATGCTCTGCTCCTCATGCTCATTTTGTCTGTAGGATTTCCTGCCAGCGAGGCTGACAGACCGTTCTGGTTTAACCTGAGAAACCTGACATGTGAAATTTGAACCGGTGCCTTTGGGTCGGACCCCATGTGACCACACCGGGGGCCTATAAACTACTGAGTACTGAGATATAATACATTTAATTAAGCACTTTTAGTCATCTAGTTTGCCTGCCTGTTTGGGATGTGGTAAAGCTCCACAGCCAATTTAAGAATTATTCCTCATCATTAGTGAGTCTTCAAACTGTCACTGTTTTAGTGTTTACGTGCAGAGCTTTTTATAAACAGTCAATGATGGTTGCCATTTTGTCAAATTTTAAATGACTAACTTTGAAGCTATCACAAGTCCAAATTGCACCAAATTTGACACTGCACTTCCCGGTCCATTAGAAAAACACATCCAAAGTGTGAACTCAATAAGATGAACAGTTCACGAGCTATGTGTTCCACAGACAAACATCTGCACAGTTAGTAGCTCGATTTACTTTCTTTTCTTTTTCCTATTATTAAAGCCAGTGTGCGTGTAGACTTTAATTGTGATTATAGGTTGTTTCATATTGTTCTGATGGTACATGATGTTTGTGAAAGAAAATGTGCAGATAGGAGGAGCATTCATCTCCAAGTCTCCATCAAAGTCTCCTCCCAAACCTCCACCATGCGCTCAGGACAAAACTGTGAGACGCGGTGCAAGAGGGACAAAGTTGGAGAGGTGCACCGGTTCCCTGGTTGTTTATCTCACAGAGCCACGTCTAGTCCCAGAGCTGTCCGGGCTCGGTAACCGGAGAACCGGGCCTGATTGACGGCCTCACGGTGCGTAGGATAACGGGATGACGGGAGGAGAAGGGGTGGGAATGCGCGCACAAAGGGGAGGGATACGCTAGCTGGTTGTAGCGTTGCCATGTGTGCAGGGAGCGTACCCCCAAAAAGCTCCAGTGGGGAAAGTTCAGTCGGTGTTTGCAGCCTGATCCTCAGAAGCCCCGGTAGTCTTATCTCCTCTGTGCGGTTCAAGGTCCGAGCGCGGTTTCATTTTTAAGAGCGCGGCTCCTCCGCTTGCACAACTTTATATTTCCTCTCGTGTGAAGCAACCGGCGTGCTGCGGTACTACCGTCACTCCGCTCAGGGTTTTCTTTCGTAAAGTTTTGCTGAGACCAGGCCGTGCAGTATGTCCGCCACACGGATGCAGCTGCTGTCACCCAGAAATGTTCGGTTTCTTAGCCGGGGGCGAAGCGACTTGTTAGCCGGTAGCAGCAGCGGAGCGCAGCGGGCCGGCGGTGTTCCCACTCCCAGGGTCCGCTCACTGACCTGTCCCCCTCTGTCCCCCTCCTATCCCGGCAGAGCCTTATCGAGTCTGAGCGCGACGCGACACGGGCTCCCCAAAGAGAAAATGTCCGAAAACGGAGTGGTGTCCCGGGCCAAGGTGTTGACCATCGACACCATGAACCCCACGGTGAAGAAGGTGGAGTACGCGGTGCGGGGGCCCATCGTGCAGCGGGCTGTGGAGCTGGAGAGGGAGCTCTCAGAGGTTTGTAGCCTCTGCATGGACCACACTCTGTTTTACATTTGCATCTCAACTTTGTATATGGAAATACAGTACGTGTCTTCCTTACACCAGTCAGCTAACATCTCATCGACAGTGCAGTGCAGCCTTTGTGCAAGTTTGAACTTTTATTTCACTGCAACTTACTTTGAACCTTCTCGCGTCTGAAAACCCCCAACGACTTGACAGGGTTGACTCCATTAATAGGGGACTCTGCTTGTTTGTCTGCTGCTGATGAATGCTTGTGTTGTTTGGCCCGAGCATGAATCCAGTCAGTGTTCTTTATGATAAATACAGATCTGCACGTTTCTCCCAGTGTGTTATCACCATGAACATTTACACCCCCAAAGAAAAGTCTGTATTAGTCAGTGGGGTTTTCACACACCCTTGAATCAAAGTCCATCTGTTAGTTAGTCATTCCTGAGGACGTTCATCATGTTAGAGGATTTATAGACTGATGTTCTAGATTATTTGCTACGTCCACAAATGTCTCTGTCGTTGTCTCGTCACCACTGTTAATCTCTAACCCATGTTTTCTTTCCACTCCCTGTTTTGTTAATGTTGGTTAAAGCACCAAAGAATGAGGGGGG